TGCGTGTTGTTCTGGCAGCCCTCGTCTCTATCAGCGCCGTTGTATTTCTCGTGTTTTTTTGTTCGCGCGTCTACCGGAGACGTGCACTCCAGGACTTTCGGAGCCGCAGGCTGGCCAGCTCAGACGGCAGTGATGCGGAAGTTGAGCTATGTGAGTTCTCTGATGAGGAAGAGGAGCAGCAACAGCACGCGGGACAGCGTCACAGTTTGTCCGCTGGAGAAGAGCGCCATCTGCCCTTGAAAAAGAAATTGTTGACAAGAGCGACAGGAACCGTCTCTAGTAGTGTCGAACCTACACCCCAGCAACAGGAGCAACAGCAGCAAGACGATGAAGCCGTTGCAGTTTTGTTCCGTTCATCCCCATCCGAAGCCTATTCAGGGCCGGAGGAGCCCAGCCCCTCCTCATCTCCTGTTCCTACGTCACCGTCTTCAGTGCGAACGCCAACAGAGCTCGATGCAGCAGCAGGACTGCTGAGTCTCCGCTCACACCGGCGTGCGAGTGGACGCCGTGCTTCAGTTTCAAGGCGGAGCATCTTCGTGGAGTTGCGGAAGCTGCAGCGGCAGATGGGCCAGTTGCAGCAGAAGATGTACCTGTTGCAGCGCCAGCAGTGGCAGCACCTTCACCTGCAGCGGCAGATGGCCGAGTTGCAGCAGCAGCTGCACCTGCTACAGGGGCAGCAGTGGCAGCAGCTGCAGCTCCCTAGGAAACAGCGCCACAGGAAGCAGCAGCAGAAGCATTCTAAGCAGCAGCATAAACAGCGTGAGCCGGACCAAGAGCGTCGGCACCTGTTTTGGTGGCAGCAACAGCAGCAGGAGTATTGGCTCCAACCTCAGCAGCAGCAGCCGGTGCTTCAAGAGCAGATGCAGCAGCAGATGCAGCAGCATTCGATGCAGGAACGAGAACAGGGGCAGCTGTTTGAGGTGCAGAAGCTACAGCAGGTAACACCATATCATGGAGAGGAGCAGGCGATGCATGAAGAGGAGCAGCAGGGACCGCAGCACGAGGAGCGTGAACAGCAGCGCC